ATGCATGCATGAGCTCTGCTGTGTCACTAGGTTGTAATTAGTTGTTGCTGTTTGCACACCGCGCGAGGTTGTAGTTTTTAGTCTCCTCTGTCCTGCCATGGATTTCTGCCAGTATAGGACCTGGCTCTCCAGTCCTGCGTCAGCCATTACTGGAGGTCAAATAAATGCATGTGAGTGGGCTCTTCCAAGACCGCCTTTGTTACTTCCCACTATCATCTAGTTTATCTTGTTCTGTGGCTTTCTCTCATGAGGCCATCTCAGTCCCCAAATCTTCACGTGAAGCCCAGATTGCTCTCTGTGAGCTCACTGCTCGGCTGGATGGCTGGTTGTCTCTGTTTCTCTAAATGGATGGTCCTAGTACCCTTTCTTGATTTTTTTTTTCTTTCCAGATTTAGATTGTTATCTTCCACTAGGAAGAGGACTATCTAGTTGAGTCTGCTTTTATCCCTTAGGCTGGGCACTGAGTGTTTTTCTTTAGATATTCATATGCTCTGGCTATGTAAATTTTCTCAAATTATTTATTGATGAATTCCTCCCCTCCTTTCCTTTGTTCTCTCTCACTGGAATTCCTGTTAGATATAAACTGGACTTCCTCAGTGATCCTCCAGGGTTGGTTTTTAATTAATCTTTATATGTTTTTTTAAGATTGATTTATTTATACATACAGAAGTGGGGTACAGGCCAGAGGTGCAGGGGCAGTGAGAGGATTCACCAGAGACAGAGTGGGGAGCAAAACAGGCAGATCAATGAAGTACACTGCTGAGAGGAGCAGCAGGCAGGTCAGGAGAAGTCTGCCATGCCATGTGGGTCAGCTCCAGGGCTGAAGTGGCTTTAGCTTCTCAGTGCTGTGCTTTAACCTGCTGCACCACTAGGGAGGGCCCCCTATTAGATTTTTTTACACTTCTATTTCATTTGCTGTCTTCTCTGGGATTTTCTCATCTTTTTCTACTAGATTCTCTACCGAAATATTCATTTTTTTTATTGTCTTGTTTTAGTTTCCAAGAACTTGCTGAAGTTAGCATTTTCTGATTTTTTAAAAATAACTTTCTGTACTTTTTGAGTGAAAGTGACTTGACGATTATTGTCAACTGTTTTGTTTTTGTTTTCTTCCTAATCTTGAAGTACTTTTGGTTGCTTGGTTTCAGTCTCTGTTTTCCCTGTTAGATGCTGTCTGGAGTTCATCTTCAGAAGCAGCATTCCCAGAGCCAGGGGGAGCAACTGTGGTCTTAGCATTTTGTATGTATACATTCACTCACTTTACCACCACCCCCGGTTGAGGGTTCAGAACCCCTGTCCTCTGCTGTGTATTCTCTACTGTGCTCCTGGCCCAAAAAGCCTGCTTTTGGCCTTTCCCAACACTAACCTGACTTTCTTTAATTGTCATGAAGAGTGGAAAGCCCCTTGAGACCAGGAATGGAGAAGTGTTCTTAAACACTTTCAAATGGCCCTGCTGTTAGCCCTTCAACTCAATTCCTGCCATCCCAAAGCCATTAAGAATCCTGCCCTGTCTGCTGAGCTAGTTTTCGGGTGTCCACACTGTGAGTGTATCTGGTCTGTGACTTAACAGTCATGAACTTCCTGTTTTTATTTCCTCTGTTGTTCGCTGTAGATAGATATTTAATTTTTTTTTAAGATTTATGTATTATACATACAACAACTGGGGTACAAGCCAGAGATGGGGGGGAGGATTCGCCAGAGAAAGAGTGGGGAGCAGAAAAGGCAGATCTACTAAAATAGCCTGCTCAGGGGAGCAGCGGGCGAGACAGGAGAGATCTCTGAGCCATGTGGGTCACCTCCGGGGCGGGGATGGAACTCGTGCTGCAGTGGCTTCACATTGCTTCATCATGCTGCGACTTAATAATTGCACCACCAGGAAGACCCCCCCTTTTTTTCTTTTAATTTTTAATGGAATGTGACTGGATGCATTTTATCATTTTCCCATTCATCACTTCAACTCAATAGGCTAACATTGAACTCTTTTTCTCTCCAACATTGTGCTTAGTTCTCTTTCCAATCCCCCACCATTCTTTCCTTTAGTCAGCCTCCAAGGGTAGTTTCAATAATTTTCCTCTTTTGTCCCAGAATTCCCTTCTCTTATCAAGAGCTGTCTGTATTTTTCTTCTTAAAATTCCATGCATTCTGCATTGGCATAAGCCCTATTTAACCTTCCTTTTTGAAGAAACAAAGATAATGGTCCGCAATCATTGCATTTTGAGGAACTTTCAGTGAGTAGCAGAAAATTGACTGAATAAATGATGATGATGCTGAATGAGAAATTCTAGTTTACGTTGTGGAGATTAGAGTCTAACCGGTCACTGCACTCCGTACTCTGCTCTGTTTTTCCACTTAACTTCCAATGACTTGACCCTAGCTCACTACCTTTTTACCTCTGAGGAAACCGTCCTGAGACAAAATAACTTTCCCAAGACACTGTGTATAAAACATGGAGAAGCCAAAGTGCTAAGAGAACCATGGAGAGTAAAAATTAATGCTTAATTGACTCAAAATTTTTTAAAAACTTGAAAAAATAGTGCCCTCCCTGGTGGCACAATGGGTTAAAACATAGCACTATGAAGCTTTCTGAAGCCACTGCAGCATGAGTTCGATTCCCAGCCAGGGAGCTGACCACATGGCGCAGCAGACCTCTCCTGACCCGCCCGCTGCTCCCCTCAGCAGTGTTTTTCAGTCAGTCGGCCTGTTGTCCCCGCTCTGTCTCTGGTGAATCCTCTCACCAGCACCTCTGGGCTATATGTGCATAAATAAATAAATCTATTTCAAAAAGAAAATTTGAAGAAATAGATTTCCAGTTTATTCTCTTAGGATTCCCTTCGTTACACTCTACACCTGGTTCTTTTCCTCAAAGGATTAACTCTCAGATTTGGCTGCCCTTCGCCCTTTTCATTTTCCCTGCTTTCACTAACAGGTGAGGCGTTTCAGCCACTGAGCCTTGCTCCCTCAGCTTCTCCTTCAGTCAATCATGTCACCTTTGGTCTTTCACATCTACTTCCAAGGGTCAACTGATCGCCAGGTATCCTATAGCATACACGACCCCCATCCCTGGTTTCTATCCACATCATTCCTTCCTACTTTTTCGCTTTTATAAAAACTGTCCTCTCTGCTTAACTAATTTTTCCTTATCCCTCCGGCTCCCCCCCTTCACAGCTGTACCATATAAGGTGGCTCTGTCCCCCAATTCCCATGAAAGCTAGTGCTGATGGATTATACCAGCCCTTGGGCCTCACCCTGTGCAACCCAATGTACTGTCAATGCCATCTGGCCCATCAGGTAAATTGGTCACATACCAAAGGCACTGGTAAAGGAAGTGGACCATCAATATTTTCTCTTGAAACTCCTTTTTCTATCAAAATAACATACTGGGGGAAATGTGGGCAGGGGGAGAGTTTCTTTCACGTATTTTCCATTTTTTAAAAATCTTTATCCATAATCTCTATAGCAATTAGAGTTTATAAAATTCCTACTCTATCTCTGGATATTATTATCAATAGTTTTCCATGTAGGGGTTCATGGGTAAATAGATCACATCCTACACTTCTTGGTATAATTGTGCCCAAGGTACAAACTTACTTAATTTTCTTGGACATCAGGTAAAAGTATTTCTCGGTCCTCCCTGGTGGTGCAGCAGGGTAAAGCACAGCACTAAGAAGCTAAAGCCACTTCAGCATGCGTTCGATCCCCGCCTGCCCCGGAGGTGACCACATGGCGTGGTAGACCACTCCTGACCTGCCTGCTGCTCCCCTCAGCAGTGTATTTCATCAATCTGCCTGTTCTGCTCCCCACTCTGTCTCTCGTGAATCCTCTCACCCTCCGCATCTCTGGCCTGTACCCCAGCTCTGTATGCATAAATAAATCTTTAAAAAAAAAAAAGCATTCCTAAAAGTTGTGCCTATCTAGAGGTAGTCTAATAATCTCTGCAGTTGGTAAAAAATATGAACATTTGCTTTCCTTTCTCAAATTCTCTAATCATTATTTTCATTGTAAGCAAAGCTACTTACTAAATTATGTATTTTGTTGAACTATTCTACATGTATTCATTGAAACTTCTTCAAAAGCATTTCCTTGAATTTTTCTGCTCACTTGAAATTTAACCATCAGAGAAGCAGTGTGTTGTCATGTGGTGTTTGTCAATGAACACCAGCAGTAGCTTTTGGTTGTTGAATAATTTCAGCATGCTCAATATATGATAAAAGTACACGGTGGTGTTTATTGCTGCTTTATTTACAATTGGAAAGACATAGAATCAACCAAATGCCCAAAAGTAGATGACTAGATTAAAAAATGTGGTACATATACACGATGAAATATTACTCAGCAATCAAAAAGATAAACTCGTGCCTTTTGCAGCAACGTGGATGGAGCTGGAAGGGATCATGCTTATTGAAATAAGTCAGAAAGAAAAAGAAAAATACTGATGGCCTCACTCATAGCAGGAGCATAAAGGACCGGGGGGAAATAATAATAATAATGAACAACTATATACCAGAGACATTTTACAGGGACAGAGTGGGGAATGGGATCAAAAATGAGGGTGGGGGGACAGTGCATAGAACTATGGTGATGGCACACGCGTGATTTGGTGATGGGAAGCCCATGGGGATTACAACTGAGATGGGAAAAGGCACAAAATGATGCAAAAATAAACTATAATGATAAAAAAGTAAAAAAATTACATTTAACTCTCATTACTTTAACCAATGTTACTTCAATTACACAAATTTTTAAATCTCACTACAGTCTTACTTTATAGGTGAAATACTGACATTGGTACTTTATTTGGTTGTTAAAGGAACTGATTGCAAACCCAAGCCTGTCGGTTTCAAAGCACTTATCTGCCTGGCTCAGTGTTTTAGGGCCTGAGAACCTTTCATCCCCTCCCCCTCCTCCATGACCTTCGACCCTCAGGGAAAACTTCCTGTTGTCACTTTCAAAATGCAACTTGAAAGCCACTACAGGCCTCAATTTTCAATTTCTTGTCATTGCAGAAAAAGAAGTTAAACTTCTGGAGAAACTTAATGGGTAATCTCCACCTCCGGTGAGCTATTTTCTTTCCTTTTATTATACTGGGGGTGGGGTGGAGTGGAGTGTCTAGTCTTTCTTTTCTCCATTAAATTTCCATTTACTTAGTCTTCCTCTACACTTTTTGTTACCTAAAACATTAAAGCAGGAAACAGAGCGATCCCCAAATTCTATTTCTGGCTCACTCAGTTTTGCATTGAATTCTGTCATTTTCTTTTCACTTTTGTTGTTTGGGGATACGGTTCAGAAAGTGTGAGATGAAGCAGGACCCAAATGTGTCCTCACACTGAAAAATATTCCATCAGTCTGTTCCCTGCAAAAAAGAATAACCCTCCCACATAATGATTCTCCAAGCAGGATCCAGGACCAGCCTGATTTGTTCACAGTATTTTTATCTGTCAGTCAGTACATGACCTTATTGTATGTATGTTTCTGTTTAGTGGCATCTTTCTAGGTGGGTGGATGGATGGACAGACAGATACTTGCATACATGCCTACATACATACAGATAATAATTCTCTTGAGATCTAACAGCACTATAATTCCTGCATTATTCCTAAACATGTTTCCTGTAACGTACTTTGTTGTGGTTTCTGCACTCCATGACTCTGGAAAGTACCCAGAACTACTTCATTCAAAGTTTTAGTGTTGAGTATTCTCACATTCAGAACCCTAGATAGCATTTCAGCACTGTGCATTAGGGCCATTTTAAAGAGGGAAATTGTCAACAAAAGAAGCACAAAAATGTAAAAAAAAAAAAAAAAAAAAGTGGCAGTAACACCAGATAAGACACTATAGGAAAGCTGAAAGCAAGAAGACAGTATTGCCTTTGAATTTAGTTAGCAATTCATGCATCGCACACCACACACTTTTTGTCACCCTGTCCATGGCTATGAATGATTGCAGAGTGCCTGAGTATTATTGGGGCTCCAAAAAACTTTTAGTGAATTTGCAAAAACTCTTAGCAAGTAGATGAATTGTGTACAGAGAGTCTGCAGATTAACACCCAATACATAAGAATCCCTATGGATGTTTCTATTAAGCAAGATCTAATCGGAAATGGGAATCCCTCCTTTCATACCGAGGGCAACTAGAGTCAGTTGGCTATGCATATTTTGGAAGAGCTGGAAACCGAATCAGGCAGGGAGTTGTTCCTGGCAGGCAGACATTACCCCCTGGCGTGAAACACAGCACCAGGTTCCAGGGCAGTGGCCAGAGCTACCCTGCAGAATAAATCTCATGCCCAGCCAGAGCTGGAGGAGGGCCCTGCCATATGCTGGAACCATGGTCACCAAGACGTGAAGGTGACAGTCACTGATTTACCACATTACTTACTTGTAACTTTGCCAGCGGGTAAAGCACCTGCGCTATCTGTGCCGTAATTCTCACGCTCGGCTTTCTTGCACGTAGTCTTTTCCCTTGAAGTCAGAATATACAACTACTATGTTACTGCCACCCGGTGGTAATTAGGTGAAACTACCCCTATGGCTTTCTAGCAGGATCCAGTTCCCTCTTACAAAAACTGGATCCCAGCCACTTCTTATTGCGTAATTAGTGTACTCAGAAGCAACAGGGGACCCCCTGGTGCCATGGGCCTTAAACTCAGCACCTTCAAGTTTTCGCCAGCGGCTGCAGCACCAGTTCCCTGCCAGGGAGCTGACCCACATGGCGCTGCAGACTTCTGTCTCGCCAAATGCACTGCGCTGCGTGTATTTCAGTCCATCTGCCTATTCTACTCCCCACTGTCTCTGGTGAATCCTCTCACCATCCTTTCCCGCCACCCTGCGCCCCCCACCACCACCTCTGCCCTACAGCCCAGTTCTTGTATGCATAAATAAATACATCTTTTAAAAAAGAGAGAGAAGAAACTACTACTATCAAGACACATTATTATAGGGGCTACTAGGTTAATAGGAAATATTGTACAATTATTCTAAGCATCCTATATATATAATATAAACAGGAGATATTAAAATAATGGAGACATTAGTAAAGCTACTCTGCACCATTTTCTAACTTTTATATCCACCTACTTCTCTGTAAAATACTGGTTCCAGCACTAAAGGATTGTTTGTAAAATTGAAAGCTATGAATATATGAAAGTGTGTAGTGTACACGCAAATGTCCTCTTCTATTAATACTCAGTACTGGCAGTGTGCCCACGATTGTAGTGAATGCCTTCGATACGTCTAGGTCATTTTCAAAACAAGCCTGCCAAGCAAGAACTGTTGCCATTCCCAGTTTGTAGATAACACAACTGAAACTCTCAGAGAAATTTGCCTGGAGATGGTGAATCTAGGTAGTGGTAGAGGTAGAATTGGAAGAAACCACAGCTCCAGATCTCAATTACTCAGTTAATCCCAATGCTGGCGTGGTATGATGAGTCTTCTCAAATGTTGTATAACTTCCATCCTGGCCCTCCCTGATGGCACCACGGGTTAGGACGCAGCACTACAAGCTGGCTGCAGTCGCTTCAGTGAAAGTTCAGTCCCGCCCCAGAGGTGACCCACATGGCACAGCAGACTTTTCATCCATCTGCCTGTTCTGCTCCCCACTCTGTCTCTGGTGAATCCTCTCACCACCCATGCACCTCTGGCCTGTACCCCAGGTCTGTATGCATAAATTAATAAATCTTTCAAATAAATCCACCCCACTCCACACATATATACCCCATATACACACAGCCTGAGCTCTCAGACGCTGCTCGGAGGCAGATGGCCCCACACACTCAGCCCGTGCGTGCCAGGCGTCCATGGGAGTCAGTGAAGATGACTCGTCTAACTGTGATCATGAAGCAACTTTGTTAAGGACAGCAGACTAAAATCTCAGCCTCCTTAGGAGAAAAAGAAAATTTGTGCAAGAGGGCTTTCCAAGCTTGCCTGGAAAGGAGAAACTTGTGTTGCTGAGGAAATGAGTTAGCTGGTCAAGGATTTCCCTTCTGGCTCTTTCTCAGCTCCAGCTTCATTCAGGACAGTGGGTGAAGCGCAAGCAGCCTGCATTTCTAAAGCATCTGACCACTGCTCCAGTGGGGTGGCTGATACTCACTTTCATTCATTCCTCTTGAGTCCAGCAGCTCGCTAGGTATGGTCTATTCTAAAGATTGGCAGGTTGGTTTTTCAAAATGGAGCTGAAATCTGAGTATTTGATTCTCGTGTGTCTCTTGTAAGTAGTTCAGCTTCTGTGAACTGAAAGCGCTTCCCAGCAGCTGCTTTAAAAGTCTATTGATAGAATTCTTGAAGCAGAACATCCTTGGCCCTTGGAAGTGCAGGAGGAGGGTCTGCTGCTGACCGCCCTCGGAGGCGCCATGGCCTCCCTCGCCTCACGTGTGTTACATTGGGACTTGTCCTTCCATTTTGGACATCTCGTTAGTATGAGGGAAGAGCGTGAAAGAGAGGGGACCCTTGTAAGGCCCATGGAGTATGCTTGCCCCTTTTCACCCCCCCTGCCACCAGCCTCTACAGCTACCTGCAACTTTGTGTTACTGTAAAAAGTGCTTGGGAGCGTGGGCAGGGCACACGCACCTAGAATTCGGACAGCCAGGCTGAGATGCTGGAGAAGGGCGGGGTGGGGCTGCGCCTATATAATGCTGATGCCTGGGCAGAGATGAGGGAGCTTGGAGAGACTGAGGCGGGAAGCCAGAAAGAGCACACACAGCCAGTTTTGGGGGTTGGGGGGTTGCTTCCCTGCCTCCCTACCTGCTGGTCTGCCTGGCTCCCTGTTTCAGTGTTCAAGTCCTGACAAATCTATCAGGGCTCCGAGATTCCTTTTCTGTTTGCCCAACAGTGAGCCTGGCGTGGGTTACACAACAGTCCTCGTGGGCCTAGCCTCCCATCTCAGCATCATCCACTGCGCCTTCACTCAGAGCTGTCACTCACAAGGTGCTCCTTCCCTGACTACAAGCCTGCCCTGCTGCCCACTGCCCTGGGCTGGGCATGGCAGGAGGAGCTAGTCCTGGGGGCAGGTGCAAACAGCTGGCCCACACACAGCCCTGTCTGCGCCTCCCCAAGACTGACCCCGCAGGGCTGCGCCCAGACCTGTGCCTCCAGAACGCTAGTGCCGAGGCTGGAGATTGAAGAAAGTTCTGCTTAGAAGGACATCTCACTCCAGAAAGGTCCGTGAGCTGTCAGTGAGCTCCTTTCCAAGACCTTTCTCCGTCTGCTGCTGCATTGGGAAGAGTTTAATATCCATGGTTTTCCACAGCTGTTAGGTTCTAGCCCAGAGACAAGCGGACCCAAAACTACCATTGACACTTTTTTTTTTTTTTTTTTGCTATTCCCATGTCTTCTTTTAACTTATTGACAGACTCTCAGAACAGTTGCAAGAAAAGCACAAAGAATCCCCACATACCTTCTACCCACAGGCCCCAAATGTTAACATTTACCACATTTACTTTCTTTTCTTTCTCCACACACATACACATTTTTCCCCCTAAAATCATTTTAATAAGTTGCAGATCCATGCCCCTTTATGCCTAAAGGGTTCACTGTGCATGTCCTAAGAACAAGGGCCTTCCTTTCTGTACTCCTGTACCATGATCAAAACTCAGGGAATTTGCATTGACTTAAGACAATTACCTAATCGACAGAGCTTATTCAGATTTTACCAGTTATGTCAAAAGGACCTTTTTTAACAAAAAGGTCATGACTTGTTTTGTTGTCACTTCTCTTTCAGTCTCCTTTCATCTGGCCTTTGTGTTTCGCAACATTGCATTTCCTCAGAGTGCTGGCTTTGCAGAAACCCTTCCGCTGGGTTTGCCTGGACGCCTGCTTCCTCCCGGTGATGTTCCAGTGCAGGGCCCTTCTCCAGGCATGCGCTGCAAGTTAGTCTCCTTGCTGGCAACATGACCTTTGATTATTTGGTGTAGGTGGTGAGTGCAGGTTTCTCCACTGTAGAGATGCAGGCACACCCCGTTTTATTGCCCTTTGCAATAGTTGCATATTTTAGCAATTGCAGGCATGTGGCAACCCTGAACCCAGTAAGCCAGTCGGTGCCATTTTGCCTCTTGCTCACTCCCTC